GTCACATTTCCAGCTCCTAGAAAACTAAATTTTTATTCCCTCATGGTCCCTTCAATTTGGGTTTTGATCTTCAAATTTAGCTTCAGAGTCAGATTACACTGGTGTGAGGGTGCACACCTGTAGTTCAGGCCTCGGGAGGCTGGTGCATGAGCACGAGAGTTGGAGACCAAACAAACAAAACAACAGAATGAGATTGGGCTAAAACATTCAGGCTAGGTCATTCCCATCAGATGTCTCTGCTGGAGTCCCAGTGGTTCTTATGCTCATTCACCTCTTCCCTTTCCCATTTTCCCTCCAGGAATTAGTGCTCTAACTGGTGGCCTCTGCCCTACTCCTGCTCCCCTGATGGTCCCCACTCCTCATATCGCAGCCCAAGTATTGCAGCGTTCTCTATCTTTTTGAGACAGGGTCTCTCTGTAGCCCCAGCTGACCTATGACTCTCTATGTAGACCAAACTGACCTTGAACTCACAGAGATCTGCCAGCCTCTGCCTCCTGGGTGCTGGAGTTAAAGGTGTGGGCCACCATGCCTGGCTGCAGGGCTCTCTTTCCAATTATTAGTCAGATTCACCCGTTCAGTTACTGAAGACCTTTCAGTCTCTGCTTGTTCTCTGTTTCAGTCACCCTGGCTTCCTTATGCTTCTAGAATAGCCTGAGTTCTCCTGGTTCCTGCCCCTGTTCCATGGCTGTTCCCTCTCTTTAGGATACTTCTCCCCAAAGGCAGAGCTACCCTTCTCTTTTATTTTGTAGCTTAAATTTGTCTAGAGCAACAACTTTCTTATCCCTAGTCCAGTTTCTTTCTTTGATAGTTTATTCCAATCTAACCCTTACCTAGACAATAAACTCTGTAACAGGCTGTACTCTAGGAGCCCAGCTTGACTCATAGTTGGTACAAAATCAGTATCTGTACTCGGATTGGAAGGATGAGCACATGACTGCTGTATTGCAAACTCCAGCTGTGCACCCCAGATGGAAAAAGTCATGAGTTTTTCCTACAATGAAATTAGAATGCAGCAGGCCTTCCTAGTACCCAGCAAAGAGTGCAGTGACAGTAAGACCTGCAGCTACTAGGTCCTGAACGTCAAGAGGAATGTTTGATCATGTCTTTTGTTTTTTCTTTTCTCTGGAATACAAATCCTTAGCATTTATGCAGCAACGGTGGCCTGACGGAGCAAGTGTTCAATAATATATCGGTTGATTTCATGAAGTGATAGATATAACAGGTTCTAACAACCATCCTCCAGATAAACACACGGTGCCCCTTGTTGTAGAGGAAATGTGCTTCTCAATGCAGCACCTGGGTGCTTGGAATCCTCCATCCTTCCTCATGCGTGGTGATGTCATCCTAGGATGATCTGTCTTCCTGAGAGAAAGTGGTGTTTGTAATTAGAAAATACATCCTGTTAATATAAAAGAACTTTCATCCTGCAACAATATGTAGTTTTTGGACTTGCTTCTTTAGTTAATTATTTTGAAAAAAGGAAGGGTTTATTTTTGGCTCAAGTTCAGGGTACAGTCCATTCATGATGGGGAATGTATAACTGCAGAAATGTGAGACAGCTGATCATGTCACATGCACAGTCAGGAAGCAGAGTGAGGAAACCTAGTGCTCAGCTGGCTCCTCTTTTCAGTCAGTCTAGGACCCCAGCTAGGGGAGGATGATACTCATTATTTATTTTTGACTTAAAACATTTTACATATATAAGCAGTATATTTTGAGTCTTGTAAAATATTCAGATGATACATAAACATATACATTCAGGGCTGGAGAGATGGCTCAGTGGTTAAGAGCACTGCCTGCTCTTGCGGAGGACCTAGGTTCAATTCCCAGCAGCCACTGTTGTGCCCAGTTCACAAGAGACCCGCAAAGACCACCAAGGAGCCGGCCAATGCAAACACACAAGGGTTCTTTTATTGTTACAAGGGTTCTTTTATTGTTTCAAGCTTAAGCTCGGGCCCACTCTGTCACTGACTCAGCGAATCTCAGATGTGAGACCCCTTGTTTTGGGAGACAGAGGTTTTTATAGGTTTATTTCAGCAAGTTCAGCAAGTAGGGGAGTAGGGGGTCTTCAGCCTGGCAAGCATCTGATTGGTTGCGGCTCAGTGCCAAACCATAAACTGCTGGCTTCAGGAACTCTGAAAAGATATCTGGACTTTAAGTACTTTCCTGTCCCTGGTTAATTGACCGTTGGCGGAGGAGTTGTTCTCTAACTGTTCCAAGTATTGTGGTTTTTCTTAGAACAGGGCCCAGGGCTGGGTCAGTCCTGTGGAGGTTTTATCCAAGATGGAGTCACTCAGGTCTCTCACCACATGGCGGCTAACAACTGTCCATGACTCATAACTCCAGTTCCAGGGGAATCCAACACCCTGTTCTAACCTCTGAGGGCATTGCACAACTTGGGTGCACTTATACACATGCAGGCAATACACTCATACACAGAAAACAGAAATGATAAATAAATGTATAGAATCAAAATAAAAGCTCTCTTGTTTCAGCTTGTTGCTTTACCATGCTACGAGGGGTCTATTGGGTCTTTACAGTGACATTTCTACATAGAGATGTGCATGTAAATGTGTGACCATTTCCCTGTGATACTTTTGCAAAAGTAGTTTCCTGTGAAATACGTCATGAACTTTTTTCACTTGCATTTCTTGAAAATATTTTTCATCTCACAGTCTTCCAATAAAAGGTGGACATTCTTTATGAGCACATTGTTAATAAGTAGAACAACATTGTGCAAGCCGCGACCCTTCACCAGGGTTTGGCTAAAACTCAGTAAGCATTTTACGTATTTGTTCCTGGCATAGGGAAGTTCAGCTTAGTTCCCAAAGGCTGTGGGAGGTCTTCATAAAGGACTGTAGACATTTAAAAAACATTGCTCTGACTGAGGATATAGTTCAGTTGGTAGAATGCTTCCCTTGCATGCCTAAAACCCTGGGTTGGATCCCCACGAACCTGTGATAGCATAAGCAGAGGCTGGAGGATCAAGTTCAAGGTCATTCTCAAATACAGGAGTTGCAGGCCAACTTGCATTAAATAATGAGACACTGTCCAAACAATACAAAAGCCTAATGCTTAAATCTCTTTGACCCACCTGTTTTCACAAAAATTGGATGTGGAGGAAGTGCTTACACAGAGTAGAAGTTTTAGCCCCAATCAATTCTGTGACATGATCCACCTGCCTCTGCCTCTGGAGTGCTGGGATTAAAGGCGTGTACTGTCATACCCGGCCTTGTCCTCAATATCTTTAAGAAGCTATGTACAGTTTATTTGGTTTGGGGGCAGAGGATACCAGTCATCTCATGATTCCTTCTAGAAACATTCCTTTTTGAGCAATGTAGGACCCTCTAGCTGCCAGAAAAGAAAGTGGTCATATCTAGCTTCCTGTCTTGTACAGCTACCACACTCTCCTTGGGTATGGCATGTTAGTAACACTTGAAAGGTACATTGTGAAGCGCTACTTCACTTTGCAAAGATGGCAGCTTCATTTCCTAAACTTCTCTAAGCAGTGTAATAGGGCACCTTCTTGACCATAGCTATTCCATGTTAAAGTTCAGGCTGACTCTAGTCTATGAAATTATCAAGCAGTTGACCTAGGGTATGGGAACACGTCTGCTGGATCCCGATTGTCTTGGGAACAGGTCAGAGTGTTCCAGAGTGCACCTGCTAACTGCAGATTTATGGCTTCTGTAGGTTATGCTTGGCTTGCTTCTGCAAATAGTAATTGTTACTTAATAGAATAGAAATTGTTAAGGGGGCTCTCCACCTGTAAGCTTGGGAACTTAAACTTTTGGCTATGGTTTCTCTGTATAAAAGCTTACTCTAGATATGGCTCAGTGCTACATACTTGGGTTCCGACACCCTTGTGTAGTAGCCCCAGGCAGTAATGACTTTCATTCAGCAAAACTTTGTCTGAGTGGTCTTCTCTGGTGAAGCCCTCCCCAACAGCAGTGACTGTAGACTCATTTTGTTAGAGTCGACTTTTGCTTCTGTCTCTGCCCCAGGAAACCATGCTGTGCAACATTCTCTTCCTTTTGGACTTAGGTTTATTCTTCTGTGAACGGAGAGTGCTGGTCCAGGTATTCAAAGTCTCTTTACCCAGCAACCATTTGAAAGTGTGCCTGATCTCCAGACCTGGAGTCTCATCTACAATGAAGACCTTTGCTGCAGCTTTGAAACAACCCAGGAGAAAATTAGCAATAGTCCCATTTACTAATATTTCCCATAATCTGTTTAAATCAGGCAGTAGATACTGTCTAGCAAAAAGATTGAAGAACTAGAAGACTGAATATTCATCCAAATCAAGTGAAGGTGTGCCTAGGAGATAAGGAGGAGTTCCAGGAAAGTTGTCCATAAACAACTCAGGAAAAGTCAGCCACCAGCAGAGGAGGGGAGACTAGAAGGAGCTGCTGCTCTCTCTGAACAGTTATAACTGGTGAGTACAGTCCTCTGGAGACTTATGCTGAAGAGGGAAAAAAAGAGAATATTGCTCCTTGGAGTTTCTGTATTGTATGGAATTATATATGGGATTAAGTGGGATTCTATACGTGACTTTAGGACAACGACTGCATCAGTAGAAATTAATCCAAACAAAGTTCTTCATATTCCTCGGAAGGTAAATTCTAATTTAAATGAAATGATGAACTTACATAAATGAGCTATTAATGACCTTGAAAGCAAATTTCCTACACATAAAATAAAAATAATAAATAAAATATTTTTAAAAGTATTTATGGTTTAGCAATTAAGGAACAAATGTTGAAACCAAGAAGTTGGAATCTGAACTCATGTAGCCTTCCGCCATGACGGGCTGAAAGCAGCTGCCTCAGGGCACCCGTGAGGACTAGATGCTTGTGAGTAAGTAGCCCAGGATCCCCTTCACAGCAGATTCTGCAAACAGCTAAGCAAATATTTTTAGTGCTATTACGAAAAGTGAGGAAACCAAGGCATGGAGGGCCCTGCAACTCCCAGGACACCCAGGTCTGTAAGAGGAAGGTTTGGATCGGAACCCAAGCGCTTCTCAAACTGTTCTCTAGACCGTCCTCGGGAAGCTGTAGTCCCAGTCACTGTGTGTGGCAGCGTGAGTGCTTAGGCACAGTGCTTCACATGCTTGCTCAGTTCATCTCAGTCATGATTAACTTGGTGGCGGCTTAGGGACAACCCCTGTGGCCACTGAGCAGGAGCAGCCTGCTTGCCACCAGAAGGCGCTTGCCATTGGAAGGCTTGACTTTCTACCATGGAGCCACATTATCTCTGTCTTCAATCTGCCTTATGTGTGGACAGAGACGAACGAGATCAATAGCTATACCTGGGGAAGGACTGGGAGCTACGAGGCTGTTTTGAAGATAGCTTTCCCTTTCATGGGAAGGTACAGAGCCCTCCACCAGTGGAGACTAACAGAGCTCTGAATGAAGCCTTTGAAAGCTGGCTTCTCTCAACCCCAGCAGAGCAGGGCTACATGATTCACACAATCAGGGTGAAAGGAGAAGTCGCTGTCTGAGAATTCAGACCTGTTCAGACACCATGTGCTGGTGCCACAGCCAACCAGCGTGTCTTCTCCTTTTCCTTCAGGTCAACGCCATGATGCATCCTGGAGTGGTCATCTCAGGCCTCATGCTGCTTCTCACAGGTATGTGTGGATGTGAACTGGGGATGCTGTGCAGGCTGGAGGTGGAGGAAGAAGAGGGACACTCCTGGGCTTTGTTGGATGACTATGGGTTATCTAGTGAGCAGAGAGCCAGGGTGAAACCTGAACTCCAAAGAAATTATTTAACCTGTATGAATTACAAAATTGATAGCAAAATTAACAAGATCCATACCTGTTTGTCAGAAAAGGGGTGAGCATATATGTACACGCATGTGCACCGACGAAGGTTTGTAAGGTACAGGGTAAGTGCTTTCTGTGCCTGAGCGCTGAGGAGAGGGAAGTGGAATTAGGAGGTCAAAGGGAGAGTTAACCTTCATTACATTTCTTTTTGCCTTTTGATTTTTCAAACCACTTTTAATTATTCAACTTAAAATATATTAGTTGAAAACATTCTATGAGATGGGGAAATAGTTGATTAAAATTATTTTAAGAGAGCCAGGCATGGTGGCACATGGGAGGCAGAGGCAGGTGGATCTCTGTTATTTCAAGGCCAGCCTGGTCTACATAGCAAGTTCCAGGCCAGCTGGGGCTACAGGGAGACCGTGTCTCAAAAAGACAAAAAAAAAAATTATCTTAAGCCTGCCCCTCTCTCTCTCTCTCTCTCTGCCCCACCCCCCCGTAGCCCCAGCTAGCCTAGAACTCATTACGGCCTCAAACTTATAGATATCCACCTGCCTGTGCCTCTCGAGTGCTGAGATCAAAGGCATATGCCACTATGCCCAGCTCTTTTTTTCTTTTTTTGAGACTAGGCTGGCATCAAAGTTGACGTGTAGCTGAGGTGACCCTCCTGCTTCTGCCTCTCACCACTTCTCTACATATTTAAAAAACTAATCTCTTGCTGGTTGTATTATAGTAGGAAGTTCATTTTATTATGTATTTTCTATAACAAGTAAACTAGCATGTGTTATATTTATAATTCTAAAAAATATTAGAGACTATTAAGTAATGAGTATTTCAGTGAGAAATATGCATTTATTATATATAACGATGAAATTTGTTTTCCCTTAAAGCATTTCCCAAACTCACAGCCTGGTCCTCTGTGTATGTGACTAGCTAGTGAGTCTCACATTTCATTATATTCTGGTGCTGGGGATCCAACCCAGGGGCTAGCTAGCACAGTCTAGTCAAGCACCCTACTCTTGATCTACAGCCCCAGTCCTCAGAGTCCCTTTAAAGGCTATCTCTAAAGCAATTAGTAATAGGAATTTTATGACACTATCCCCACAGATAAATATTTAAAATGTTATTTTAGTTTTCAAAGTTGCATGATTTGGTCCTTGATTAAACACTCTCTGATTTTGTGGTCTTAACATAAGTGAGTCTGACTCAATTGCTGGAATTTCATCAACTTAAGAAAGAAATCTCAGTTTAGAATTTTTTCAGGACTGATCCTAAAGTTCATATTAAGCCTGAGCCCTTCCTGACGCTGTACACATGAAAATTGATTGTGAAATTGTGAAAATTGTAGTTGCTAAAGTTCTGCCTTTAAACCAACATTGGCTCTGCTTTCTGTATAGGAGAAATAGGTAGTTGAATAAGGGATTTCATTTCTAAGGAGCATTTGGGAGGGTATGGGAAGGGTTGAGACAGGGTCTCATGAGATCGGATTGTCCTTGAATTCAAAAGGTCAGCAAGGCTGGCCATGAACATACGGTCTTCCTGCCTCTGCTTCCGAAATTCTGGGTATACAAGTGTGAACCAACATGCCCGGCTTCTGTGATAGAGGTTTCTAATCTTTACAAATGAAAATTTGAGCTGGTCTTAGTGGCATATGCTTGTGATCCATCACACTGGGGTCAGAGGAAGGAGGATAACGAGTTCACGCCAGCCTGGTTGACAAGAGCAGGTGTTTCAGAAACAAACACACAACTAAAGAAAATGAAAAACACGATGAATATCATACAGTACAGCAAGTCATTTTATATACAATGTATCCTTTAGATAATGCCACTGAAGAAGAATATGCTAACTTTAAAAAGTTAGGCTATAAAATGTATACAAAGAAAAAAGTGACATGAACCATTGGGACACTGGCTCAGTAACAGAGCACTTGCCTCCCATGCAAGAGGCCCCAGGTTCAATTCCCAGGACAGCCTAAAAGAAAAATTGAAATGATTATGTAGGGCCTGGAGGATGGCTCATTGTTTAGGAACAAGCACTACTGCTCTTCCAGAGGACTGGAGTTCAAATCCCAGCACCCTCACTGGGCTGTTTACAACTGCCTGAAACTCCAGCTCCAGGGGATCTGTGGGCACTGAATTCATGAACACAAACCCATATGCATACATACATAATTAAAATAATATTAAGATATTTTTTAAAGAAATTAAGATGCTGGGAGTGGTGGAGCACACCTTTAATCGCAATCCTCAGGAGGTAGAGGCAGAGGCAGGCAGATCTCTGCTAGACTGAGGCCAGCCTGGTCTACATAGTGAGTTCCAGGGGAGCTGGGACTAGGAAAACCCTGACTAAAAAAAAAAAGAAATTAAGAAGTAAAAATAAAATTTTAGGCGAATGTGCAGTGCTGATTCTCCCTTTCTCTCTCTTTATTACAGCTGCTGTGGATTCTTACACAGAAGTGCTTGGAGTGGTGGGTCAGCCTGTCACGCTGCCATGTACTTACATGGCATCGAATGGGACCTTAATCACATGTTGGGGTCGAGGGGATTGTTCTTCCTCATGTTCAGACCTGGTTATCTGGATGGATGGACACCGTGTCTACTACCAGAAGGACAGTCGTTACCAGCTCAAGGGGCAGATTTCACAAGGAAACGTGTCTTTGACCATTGGGCGTGTTCTTCAGAGTGACAGTGGTTCGTACTGTTGTCGAGTGCAAACCCCAAGATGGATCAGCATACAGGTATTGACCTTCTTACTGAAAGTTAGACCTGGTAAGCTTGCCTTGTTTTCTTTGATTATTTCTTCCAAGTGAAATGCATTACCCGTTTGCTACTAATTTGCTCTTTTCCTGTAATAGGGAAACACCAGGTTCTTATAAACATGTTTGTTATTAATCACTTGCCTTTGATTATTTTAAACTTTATTTTATCTAGAAATTTTTTAATATATATGAGCATTTTGCCTGCAGGTATGTAAGTGTAGCCATGTGTGCAATGACCACACAGGCCAGAAGAGGGTGTAGGATCCCTTGGAACTGGAGTTGTTAGTTGCCATGTGGATGCTGAGAACAGATTCCGGTTCCTCTGCAAAAGCAGCTAGTGTTCTTAACTGCTGAGCCATCTCTAGCCCCTGGTTTCTTTTCTTTTTTTTGTTTTCTTCTTTTCTCTCTTTCTTTCCTTCTTCCTTCCCTTCCTTCCTCCTCCTCCCTCCCCCTCTC